CTTCACCAACGTCGCTCTCCTAGCTAAAGTCATTGCCCAATCTAGTGGTCTTTCTCCCACCTCACCTCCTCGGTCTCCTAAACTTGGGGAAAATGCGGCTCTTGATGGTGATCAACCCGATCCTTCTCGCGGAGGCGGGGGGATGCCTCAAGTAGTGTTCTACCAGTCCGGTATAGGTACAGGTACAGGCAAGATTCACAACCTAGTTGACCAAGGAACTGGCCTTTCACTCGGATCGAAAATCGAGGAAGCTTACTCTTTCATTGTTGACAACTACCAACCTGGCGATGAGCTTTTCCTCTTTGGTTTCTCCCGGGGAGCATACACAGCACGATGCATTTCCGGTCTCATCAACTGGTGTGGAGTCCTGTCCAAAGTCGAAATAACCCACTTCTCCGAAATCTGGGCTGCTTACCAGCGACGAGACCCGGACGATATCTCTTCTGAAGTCGACGCTGCGGAAACACTCTATTCCGCCACTCTCAAATACCCATCCGCAGAATCCGAACAAGTTGCCACGAACATGTACCTGTTCAACCTTCACAGCAATTCCAAACTCTCCCCCGCAGCCAAAGTCAACCTCGAGGAGCTGAGAAGGAAAGAATGCGCAGCAAGGAGAAGAAAGAACATGGTCGTCCCTCCACAGATTAAGGTGGTCGGGGTGTGGGATACTGTTTCGGCATTAGGGTTTCCAGGCATGTTTCAGGATAATGCTATGATTGATTTCTTTGATTTCTATGATCCTGGGTTGGGGAGTAACATTCAGTTTGCATTTCATGCGTTGAGTTTGGAAGAGGATAGAAAGGATTTCCTTCCGACCATGTGGTATCAGCCTAGTGTGGCGGATACTCCTTCTGCTCTGCCGCAGAGTGCGAATGGTGCGCGAGGAGGCACAAGAGGGGGAGCCGAGTTTTCGGTGAAAGGTCAGCATATGCGATCGAAACAAGTTTTGAAACAGTGCTGGTTTCAGGGTGTACACACTGATTGTGGGGGAGGATATCAGTACCACGGCCTATCAGATATTACTTTGATCTGGATGATTTCTCAGCTCGTCGATCCACACACACTTCCGGATGGATCCACCACCCTTCGACCTCTACTCAATATTGACTTGGGTCTCTTAGCAAGCATCATCGACCGTCGTAGAGAATGGGGGAAACAACTTCCACACCGTTCTCGTCCCACCATCAATTATCAACATCCTCGTATAGTTCTTCAGCGTAAATGGGATGCGGAGACGATGAAGCGTACCGTGTGGGCTAACATGGCGCTGACTGGTCGAACGAATGAGTCTATCCACCCATCGGTTGTGCGTGGGGGTAGGATTCAGCCTGATTCGCACCCAGCCTTGGCGGCTCTGTGGAGGGATGAGAAGGGTGGGAGTAGGGAAGTGTTGGAAAGAATGTGGAAAGAGGCGGAGAATTGGGATGGGACTTTGAGGCCGACGGAGAAACTGTTGTATTGGGAAAAGAGAGGGCCTTATCCGTGGGTCCCGGGACAAGGGGATTGGGGGTTGAATCCGTGGATTGCGCCGTTGATTGTTTCGGGTGGGTGGAATATTCCAGAATTGGCGAGGAGGGATGTGAAGGAACTGGTGATTAGTGCGGCGCAGATGAGAGGGATGGGTGATGTCGATGATTCTCCTGAGGAGAATGGCGGCGATGGGGCTGGAAAGGGGGCTTCGGGTGGTAGTGGTGCTGATGTGGACGACCAAGCGATCGATGGATGGGGAGATGTCGCAGCCACAAAGCCTCCCGCCAAGCCCACAGACCCTACCTCTTCTTCCTCCTCACCATCCACTCCAACCTCAACCACGCTACCCATCCTCATCGCTCCAATGATCACCAACACATCCCCTCCCACAGCCCTCTACCCCCTAATCCCTTCCAAAGAACTAAGTGAAAACCCAGTCGACCCCACAACCCATCCTCATCTCCACTCGCTCTTCTCCACCCTCTACTCTCTTTCTACAATCCCTAACTCGATCATCGCAGATATCCTCAACTTCCGGCTGGTCCCGAAGACGAATCTCAATCAAACAATGGTCCAAGGTTGGCTTTGGGAGTTGGGTGATAAATGGGCAGGGTACTCGGATGAGGTGAAGGTGCAGGCGTTGACTGCTGGATTGGGGCTGCAGCATAAGAAGGGGAAAGGTGGGAAAGGGGGCAAGAAGTTGAAGAAGAATGAGACAAAGGCGAAGAAGATCAGTGAGGAGGAGAGCGTTGTTTCTGACGATATTTGAAGCAGCCATGTGGGGAAGTCTTCCACACCTTTTCAACATCACGCATGGTCTTTGTTCAAAGTTTTCGTTGTTTCACTTCTTGGTCTCGGATCGCAATTCCAGCACACGCATACGCAAGCACACAGAGTCACACTTTCTCAGCTTGTGCAGATCCGCGTTGAAGCGGAGCGAATGATGGACTCGCGTTCCGTGCCTAAGCGGACTCTTCAGTCATTTCACTGACTGTGCTCCGTTATGGAACGGACCTTGACTCCAAGTCGATGAGCAAGACGTCGATTGTGACATTGCATGAAGAAGTGATGGTAAAAGTACAAAGGCGACCACATTCAGGCCAAGGTCAGAGGTCCCGATCCACGAGGTCATCGTCGTCGTCTTCATCAGCGTCTTGATACCGATGCGCGTTTGTTGCCGTAGCTTCCTCCTCTCCTTCGTCTTCCTCTTCCTGATCCTCGTCCTCCGACTCATCATCCTCTAAGGCGTGCGCTTCCTCTTCGTGTTCGCCTTCCACATCGCTCAGTTCGAAATCTTCACTGTGAACACTTCCAACCTCAAGCTGCTCATCGTCATTTTCCGCATCATCGTCTAAGACCTCTTCCTCTTCGCTCTCACCATCTTGCTCGTCCTCCTCTTCCTCCTCGTCATCGAAAGAGATAAAGTCCTTCTGCTGAGTAAATGCCTTCGCCTTCCTTCTCTTTGTTTTGCGACTGTCGCCCGTATCAGCAAAGTTGACCTGCTCATCTTGGTCGTCCTCCTCGTCGCCAGCGTCTGCGTCGTCAGGTAAGACCTGCTGATCGTCATCCAATTCAGTCTGCATCAGAGGTCGCTTCCGCTTCCCTGCTGCCCTCTGCTCTTGTTCATTCTCGGACTCCTCAGCTGCCGCAGCGTCATCACGCATGAATAGATCTGCGTCGCCTTGCTGCCCCGCCCCTTGCCTGTCCTCTTCCTTCCAATCTCCCGTTTCCTCACCGCTAGCGCTAGCCCTGATAACATGAACCAACTTACATCCCTTCTTCTCACACTTGCCCTTCTCCACAAAATCTGGACACTCATATGTATGTCTCTCCTCACAACCCTTTCCCCTCTCACACCAACCATAATCACTGAAATTCCTACAAATCTTCGTCCCCGTCCCATCCTTCAACTTATCCGAATGCGTATAGAAACACTGTTCTCCATTCCTACACTTTCCCGCCCGCAAGTAATGCACACAATGCGGCACTCTCTCCGCCCTCGGCGTGTGTGATAACGGACATGTCCCCTTCGGCAACGCACACCCCGAGGGATGCAACACTTTCGGACAGAGAGCAATCTTGCTTGAGTTGTGCAAGTACGGACAGGAAATACCGCGTTTGCACTGCCCGGTCTTGTTGAAGAACGTGCATAGTGTGCGGGCTTTCTTTGCATCGAGTGTACGAGAGGGTTTGGTGCGGGAGGAAGAATTGCGGGTGGCTTGAATGGCGGATATTTGACCGACCATTTCATCGAGTCGACCCATCTTGGCTTGAGCTTCTCGTTGTGCGCGACGTTTGGCGAGGAGGTCGGCGGAGATGAGGTTGCCGCGTTTGGTGCGGATGTAGTCTTGGCCGTTGATGCTCGTTTTAAGCGGTACTACGGCGGACGAAGAGGGATTGGAGGTGGTGCTTGTGGATGGTGTGTTGCCGTGTGCGATATCGGGGGAGGAAGATGGCTGTAGGGCTTTCTTGACTAGCTTAGTTCCAGAAGGGTCAAACTCGAAAACGACACCATCAATGACGACTTCCCCCATGTTGTCACCTCGACGGACGGAGGAGGAGGGTTTGGTGGGTTTCCCACGAGCTGCTTTCTTGCCGTGTGCCGAGGAGGAAGATGCGACTTTCGCTTCCGCTTTTGCTTTCCGCGTTGCTTCGAGGGCGGCAAGTCGAGCAGGTTCGGTGCGTTGGAAGGTGGAAGCGCTGACCAGGCTCATGTTGTGGGTTGTCTTGCGTTTGACCCAGCCATCTGCAGGGGCCGAGGTTGATGTGTTTGTCCCGTCTATCTTCGAAGCATCGCCAGCAGCGTCTCCTGATGTTGCTGTCCCGCTGGCAGCGTCACTCGCTGCTTTTGCTTTCAGATCGTTGAGGACTAAAGTGCGGTTTCGTGGAGGAATGATAGCCGTACCTCGACCTCTGCCTCTGCCAGCTGGTGCAGATGCAGATGCATGGTAGCCACCTCTCGCACCTTTATATGCTCCTCTATACGAAGATGTTCCTGCGCCGGAGTAGTAGCCGCGACCTCGTGGTGCGAAGCTTGCGTTGTAGGGTGGTCGATGTGGTTGTTGGTGTTGATGCTCCTTGTGTGTCTGGATAGCACCCGAAAGCTTTGCAATCTCTGCTTTCAGTCGCTCTTCTTCGCTCGTTGACGCCATTGCTGCTACTCAACAGCCCTTTGGCTTGTCGTGTCTGGTTATGGTTGGCCGGGAAGAAGTGAAGCTGTGATGACGGAGTCAAGATGGACGAAGTGTCGCGAGGTTAAAGAACAACACAAATAATCATATGGCACACACTTTTCCGAGTTCCGCGCTTGGACCCCTCCACACCACGCGACTCAGCACTTTCGATGCAGGTGCACAAAGAAGATGATGAGCTGAACAGAACTATCAGAAAGGACGACCATTCCTGTGTATCAAACTCGCCAACATACGCTTGTCCTCGCTTGGTTCGAAAGATGTTGACCAGCAAAAAGACCATGTCACAGTGGACAAAAAAGGGAAGGATAAACATCCGATGGGCAAAAAGGAGAGTGGAGACTGCATGAGTCGAACACGCGACCTTTCGCAGATTAGACATGATGCTAAGCGAACGCTCTACCAACTGAGCTAAACCCCCTTTAGTGACAAAAAAGGGGACCATTGCACAATTTTATTTGTTTCAATTTACATGTCCCGCGCGTCAAACTGAGCGGCGATTGCTCACTTGATCCCGCTCGCCCTATCTGCCTTGTCGCCAACACACTCTTGCAACGCGCCCTTCCATCAACCTTTGCGCTCCTTGACGGAATGGCCATTCAGACAATTGTCGCCGGCGTGAATTGTTTCAAGATGCAAGGGACGCTTCGGGGGAGACAAAATGGACAAGTGGCACTTGCTGATGTGCTCACGCACAGTCGAGTTCGTCGGAAAGGGGAAATCATGCCTGAAGAAGGTCACGAGATTATTTTATTTTATTTTTCATGTTGAGTTCACTTCGTCTTGACATCGCTTTGTCGTCAATCCAAGGAAAATCCCGGTCGCGGTTGCTCTTCCATTAAGATGAATGAGCTTTGGGTGTGAGATTGAGCAAGAGAGAGAGCTCAAACAACAGTGACAAGTTTGATCAAACAGGCGAGCCACAAGTGGGAGCAAGTTGCTGCGGCGTTTTGCTCTCACGCCTTGTGAAGCCGATATGATAGCCGTATAGAAAATAGCATTACTCAATAGCCGAGTCCGCGCAGAGAAACAAAGTCGATCTTCACAGTTGCTAAGCTGTGTTCTCCGCTGGACTCAAGGCACCCTAGAAATGTGTTGCTGTGCTGTTGCTGTGCTGTTGTTGTGCTGCAGCTTGTCTGCGGCTCTATGCGTTTCTGTTTATGTGCGAGGTGAGATGCTTATCATCTGCTGTCCGCTGCCAATTCTCGACGCTGTCTCGTGAGTTGGCCATCGCCTCCGCCTAACTGTATCCTCGGAAGCTCGGCTTTGAGCCCGTTTGCTGACCAACCTTGCTTCCTGCCCGCTTCACACTCTCTTCTCTGTGGTCGACCGCCGATCAAGACCGACCTCTATCTCTCACGCAACCTCCCTGGTTATCATCTTTCTGTTACCGGCTAGCTCCCGACCTCGCTGATAGCTTTCGACACTTCCATAATCCTCGACCTCTCATTGCGGCTTGCAAAGTTGCTTCATTACTTTCATCCCTTGTTCATCTCTTCCCTACACCACCCGCTCCACCGATACAAGCCACATCACTAGAGTCTCACTGCTCCACACTTTAGGGCCTGCACCCCGCAACTCGACCTTGTCTCTACCTCCCTATTCTCTCATCCAGTCCCTCCGACCTCGCCTATATTCCGGCACAACTTCATTGACGAGCACAGGCTTAGCATCGAGCAAACTAGCTCTATCCAGCCCACTCGGAAAAGTTTCTATCGTACAACTTGCCCGCAACACTCCGACTCCCTCCTCTTGACCTCCCCCTCTCGAACACTATGACGCACGAGAAACACTTTGATGCTGCTTCGAGCAGCTCTTCCGACCCAAAGCATGGCCAGGACAGCTCACATGTGCACCCAACTACCTTGGCAGACGTTCTTCCGGTCCAATGTCCATCGAACCCGGTCAAGCGCTTCTATGCCATGCCTGTCATCCAAGTCGCTCTTGTTGGAATGGTCTGCTTCCTCTGCCCAGGCATGTTCAACGCCATAAGCGGGATCGGTGGTGGTGGCCAGGTCAACTCAGATGCTTCTAACAAGGCCGCCATTGCCCTCTATTCCACTTTCGCTGCTGTCTCCTTCTTTGCTGGTACCATTCACAACAAGCTCGGATCACGTCTAACCCTCGGAATTGGCGCACTCGGCTACTGTCTCTACATCGGATCCTTCCTCTCGTACAACATCAATCAAAACCAAGGCTTTGTCATTGCTGCCGGTGCCATTCTCGGTGTCTGCGCCTCGCTTCTTTGGACAGCACAAGGTGCTCTCATGCTCGCCTACCCAACTGAAGACCAGAAGGGTCGTTTTATCAGTGTCTTCTGGGTCATCTTCAATATGGGTGCCGTACTTGGCTCAGCCATCCAGCTTGGTCTCACTTACAACTCTTCTGCCAACACCGTCTCGAATGGCACTTATGCAGCTTTCATCGTGCTCACCGGTCTCGGTGCCTTCGTCTCCGCTCTGCTCATGGACCCGGCCAAGATGGTCCGCGACGATGGTACTCGTGTGCTTGTCCCTGCGCAGACCACCTGGGCCAAGGAACTTCAAGGTCTCTTTGTTCTACTCAAATCCGACCCGTGGGTGGTGCTGCTCTTCCCCATGTTCCTTGCTTCCAACTGGTTCTACACCTGGCAGTTCAACGACTACAACGGTGCTCTCTTCACTCTTCGCACTCGCGCGCTCAACAATTTGCTCTATTGGCTCAGTCAGATGGTTGGCAGCCTTGCCATTGGTCAGGTCCTTGACGACAAGCGTCTGTCGCGCAAGTCTCGCGCATGGCTTGGTTGGTCCATTGTCTTCGTTATCACGTGGGCCGTCTGGGGAGGTTCTTACGACGTGCAGAAGACCTATACCCGAGAGTCTGTCGCAGCCGAGACTCAGCGTATCGACTTCGCCGACGGAGACAAGTTCGTCGGATACTGCTTCCTCTACATCTTCTCCGGTATCCTCGATGCTGTTTGGCAGAATCTTGCTTACTGGCTCATCGGTGCTTGCTCCAACGACCTTTCCAAGCTCGGATATTTGGCTGGCTTCTACAAATCGATCCAGTCAGCCGGTGCAGCCGGTGCCTTTGCTATGGACAACGACAAGCACCCTTACATGACCAACCTCGCCGTCACCTGGGGTCTTTGTGCCGCTGGCATGCTGTTTGTTATTCCTGTCATTGCGGTGCGTGTCAAGGAACACACTGATCCACTTCAGGAGGTGACCGTGCCGGGTCGAGCAGAAGAGATTGCTGCAGTTGACAACCAGGTTTCGGCTACAGCTGTTGTCGAGAAGCATCCTTAGAGCGATCGCTCCTAGCATCCACTATCCTTTGACTTTGTACTTTTACATACCCATGAACGCTCGGTTACCTCGACAGACAAGACGAGACGATGACTGTGCGACTTCTGATGACTTCATGAGACTCCTGATGAAAATCGAAGAGATCAGCGGGTTTGGCCAGCCAGCATGAACGCTGGTCCCCTTTTTTTCCGTTGCTCCTTGACGAGAGGGACATCGTCGAAACATTGTTCCGCAACGAAACGGACTTGGTCTCGCCGTCACTCCGTTATTGAGTGGAAGGAGTTCGATCCAATGGCTGCTGCTTTCGTTCGTGCTGATCAGGTCCAGACGTACACAGGCAAATCATGTCAGTCAAAACATCAAGCAAAGACAGGCGAGAGGCCAGCTCACATTGAACGCCGACCTGGACCTGTGATATCTGTTGGATGGACTCGTTCCGGTGACTCCACTGATTTCGCAATTTGTGCGCACTGCTCATCCGATGCGTGTCCAGAGTCTTCTGCGCAGGCCCTGTGATACGGCGGTCCCTCATCGAACGTGCGCAGTCAAAGCGCTCAAGGTCATCTGCAAGGGGCGCTCGTCCTCTGCCCCGCTCTTTGCTCTCGAAGACGGCCTCCCTTCCGCCCCGAGTTTATTCCTTGACATCTTGTACTGTTGTCTCACAGCCTGTGGAATCTCGCCAATGGGTATTCCGGCCATTCAGTCAGACATGGAGCAGCCACTTGGGCAGCTGCCAACGGCACAGACGATGCAACCATCCAGGGTCTTGGGTGCTGGCGCAGCGACTGCTTTTGACGCTATGTTGACAAGCCAGCTGCTGATCAAGCTGCGACCACAGCGGCAGCTCTCTACACAAATGCCAACAAACCTCTTGACCTCTCCACCCCCGCCTGGCGGCATTTCTGATCTTTCGACTTGCCCCTCTTGTGTGGGATTGCCTCTCGCTTCTCTCCAGCCTCAGCTCACAACCATCTCACCAAGTGGTACGCTGCTCGCACTCTAGGTGGCTGTCACCGGAATGGAATTCCGTTCTCCGAGTCCGGAGCATTGGGGAGTGAAATGCTTATACTTCAGTGTTGTGTGAATTGGGTACACCAGCTAAGGGACTTAGCTGGTGTAAGTGGTTTTACTGCTCACTATGTTTCGATTTGGTTACCCGATTCCCGATCGCCGACAGTGGCCACGGCTGGGAACTCGCAAGCAACTCACTCGAGTCAGGCAATTTAACATTCCTTTTTTCCTCAATTTCTCAGCCTCCTTTTTCAACAATTTTCACGCGTTGTCAAGGGCGATAAAAGGGCGATAACTCACCGTTGATGGAATGCCCACCACTCCAAAGTTTGCGTCATCTGCCAGCCAACACACCTGAGTCTCAGTTATAGTCTTCAACCACAACGGAGTTCCTTCTGAACCTTTATGGCATGCCATACTTAGTTAGCTGATAGCAACGTTGTGTTGTATTTAACCTTCCACTAGGTTAAGGGTCCTATCGATCAGAATTCATGCGAGTACTGAAGACAACGATGTTGACGTAAGCAGATGCAAAAGAGATCGGGCGAATGACGATCTGATCAGAGATCGGGTACAACCTAGTCCCGCTTGTTGTCAGACTTTGTCATTAAGTAGGATGCACCCACATTCGGCATGTGCCACCCAGATGTATATATATATAGAGCTGATGGCTCTAGGCTCTCACCATGTCCTTTTAGCCAATTGAGTATATACGTTTCTGTCCTAAAAACAGCGGCGATATTGTGCTCTGACTATCACCGATCGTTGATCATCGGGACCCGTCTTCCTCATCTTTCATCAGCGAGAAAGCACCTACCACACGACGGAGAAGCGCGTCGGAACGAACAGCTCCGCCTTCGAGTAGCCAATTGCATTGCCGAACCTCAACACTCGAATGCTTACAGCCTGAATTGCATTCGGCTGTTCTACATGCTCGATGTGTTAATGACTCAGACTTGAGGAACGATTGGCACGCTTATACAGACGGCGGCTATCCTGGGCAAAGTGGGTGGTAAGAAGTGCATGATGAGTCCCACAGATGTCGTGAGCAACCCTCAAGCGTGGGACCGTGCCCGAGCATCTACAGCTTCATATCAAGCACACTCGCCACCTCCATTACCTC